AAAACACATGTACATTTGTACATACACATAACGTAATTTTAAAGTCTATGATTCAATTCACCAATATTATTCCGCAAATAAAAATATAATAATTTTATTCATGTAAACTGTGCGTTAATAAATAAACAATCCAAAACATTGCAGAATAGAACTAATGCCAAATTAGAAAAAACTGCAATCACCATGGTAACCTTCTTCATACCTGATCTAATACTGCAAGACAAAGTGCTTTATTCCGTCGGGAATCCACTTCAGTGATTTCACAAATCAATCTAACATTCCATTGAAAATAAAACTTGGATTGCTACATTTATATCTGCTATTTTCTCCAAAGATTATCTGTATAACCTTTCTAAAACTTTAAGTAATTAAAAAATACATTATACCTCTGAAAGTGGGACCTTCAATTAACTTTATAGTTATCCACTCTGCTCTGACATTTCAACACTACTTCACTTTATTAGAAAGTAGTAATTTCCAAAACCATTACAATTGTATTAAACCTTTTCACCACCAGTTTCCTCTTTTCATCACAAATGCACAAAATAGTCCCATTTATAGTCTGCACTTTTCTTCAGAACATTGGAATAAAAATAGTCAATTTTTTCGGGTAAAAACTGAAAATTGACTAAAATTTTGTCTGTTGGCTCCAAAATTAGGGTTCATTTCCAGAAATATTGAAGAATAATAAAAAACAGTGCAGAAAAATTTGGGCAAGAAAGTCTGGTAGTGATAAGGTTAAACCTGTCATAATTTTTCTCACCAAGATTTTTATGTATTTTTTTATAATTATTTTGTTAATTTTAGGTCAGGTCTTGATCTGAATTGTTGAAAAAATTGTGAAAATTTCAATTTATTTTGTGAATGATGATAAAAGTTGACTTCAGTGCTCAAAGATTTTAACATTGTTGTCATAGTGACTGTGTCATCATTATTTGAGCAAACTGTGAAATCAAAATATTATATCAGACTATCATTTAAAGGGGTGGTGCTCTTGGAAACAAACCTGGTTTTTCTGGACTATGATGTTCATACATTTTACACAATAAGAAATGAAGGTGAGACCAAAATTCATCTGAATGCAGGCGACTTCAAGTTGGCAGGTATATCCTCATTTAGGAGGCATACATCACAGTCACTCTACTAGTATATTTAAAATTAATAAAAAATTTGAGATCAGCCTTTCAAACAAGAAGCTTGGCAATTAATATTCATTTCCTATTTGAGAAGCACAACATAAAAATAAAAGAAAGCTTAGAAAGAACTCCTGTTTGCTGAGAGTATTGAAGACACATTAAAAATTAATTCAAAATTACTTGTACTTGAGATATTGATGGAAAAGCTGAAAACTAATTATGTAAATCAGGTAACTGATATGAACAGATTTGAGTGTAAAACTAATAGGGCCTGTGTAGTGTAATATCTATGTACCAAGTTTCATTGAAATGTGATTAGAACAAAAAAACCATGAATTATTATTGGAGAATTAATATGAACAAATTTCAACCCAAAATTAATATGATGATCAGTACTTGAGTTATCAGGCGAAAAGCTGAAAATTAACTAATTATGCTAATAAGGTAATTAATATGCACAAATATTTATACATGCAAATTAAGTAATTAATATGTACTGATATTATACTAAAAAATATCAGGTCTGTGCAGTGTCCTATGACATCTATGTACCAAGTTTTATTGAAATGTGATGATTACTACTTGAAATATCAAAAGCTGAAAATTAATTAATTATGCAAATTAGGTAATTAATATGTACTGATATTACC